CAAAAAGAAACTCAATAGGAAAGAAAAAGGATATAAAACAGTTGTGGAACATTTAACTATACCAGAATATATATTATTTTCAGTTCTATTATTTGAACTTTTACAAAGACAGGGGTATCGGTCATACAGATTGTGTTCTCTGACTACAATGAAGTAAAGCTAGGAATCAATAAATAATGATAACTATTAAAATCTCAACAATTAGAAAGCAAGCAACATAATCCTAAATAGTCCGTAAGTTAAGGAAGAACTCTTGAGAGAAATTTTTAAAATATACAGTTAAGTGAACAAAAAAGAAAATATGTTAAAAATTTGTGTGGCAGCTAAAGTAATGTTAACAGGAATATTTTATAAACTAAATGTATATATTAAAAATCTTAAGTTATTAAACTAATCTTTCACTTCAAGAGTATAGAAATGAACAAAATAAATCCAAACTTAAGAAACAAAATAATAAATAGAAATTAAAGAAATCATAAGACAAAAAATAAAAATTTCTGGGCGGCTAATGATAAAGGGTGTTTAATATTTTCTGGGAATCAATCTATCCTCTTAGTTGACTATTGTATTTGCGCAGTAGATACTTTCTAGTGGGCAACAGCATATGGTATGAAAATTTTCACACTGTTCTCACTTCCATATTTTCATCCAAATACCTCTAACTCACACTTCTTCTCTCCAAGCATTCCTTCTTGGATTCCCAGATGAGATACTAGATCACTGATCACTGTCTGGGAAGTAATATAGATTGCTATCTTGGTCTACAGTAACAAGTAGATAACCTGATGGACTGCTCAAGCTCTACCATTTCTCCTTTCCACGGTGTTACCATCACTCTAGAACATAGCTGGTTGTACTACTGCGGCATCCACACTGCTTCACCTCTAGAATGACAAAAAGCTCTATTGTGAGCTTACTTCAATTTTTGTGGTAAGACATTCAGGTTGCATATAATTTATTTTGTACTTTAGAGCGAGTATTACGGCATATCCTTTACAATTATACCCCTTAAGAAGCTAATAAAGTCTTATCGGACTCCTAGAACCTTCACTTAAAATTCAAGAAGATCCCTGAAACTCTGTAGAGTTTGTTTCCCATCCCAGGATCAGATATATTACCAAAGCCTCCAATCAAGGAGCCATATCTTGCTTGAGCTTCATGACCACAATAAGGTTGTTAACGTAATGGATCAATATTCTGTGTGCTAATAAAGTGGTCCATCTATCTTTGGGCTACATTGTGAAGAAAGACAAACAGTTAACATATCCCTGAGGCAAATCTCTAAATAAACACATATTGAGGAAAATTTTAGATATTTAACATTTAAATTAATCAATTTTTTGTTCGGTACCTGAGATCAAATTCATGATCTTGTGCTTGCAGGTAGATGCTCTGCTGCTGAGTTATATCCTCAGCAAACTAATAAATTTTTAAATATTTAAATTTTAAATAAATATTAATGGAATATAATACATCTCCCATATCAGTGGACTATACAATATTCTTTCTCTCCAAATAGTACCTCTCAAGCAACTTCTACGTTATGATTAAGTCTGCAGTAGTCTTTCAGGTCTCTAATTTTTGCCCTCTTCCTCATATTCCAAGAATGTGATTTTTTTATATTTAATATCATTGGTATATCTAAAAGCAAGGAAACAGCTTTAAGTATTTTCACTTGTGCTTCCCCAGTATGATAATCTTAATCTACAGGACATGTATCCACTGTGGCATTTACTCCAACTGCCAGGCACAACAATTTCAAACATATGACTGGGGACTGGGGAAGTGAGCAGTGGTTAGATTTATAAACCTACTTGGCCTGTTGTGAGCCAGACTTTATTAAAGAAATCACTGGATCCCTAGGAGCTCTCATTTTATTAGAGGTGACAGGATGACACTTTGGAGCTCCAGGGGTCAAAGTAAACTAAGAACTTGTTTCTAATAATTTTGGATAGTCCTCTTTTCTCAAATTCCCAAGAAAATGGCCCAGTTTATGAATTATTTTTCTACAGGTTTGTATTCTAACCTCTTTGATCAAACGTCCTCAAAATCTAATCCGTGGTATGTCCCATGTTCATGTCAGCATATCCTTAGCTAACGCTAAGACAGCTTTCATCCCTCCTCTACCTGGCCCAACTCTGGGTTACACTGCACCTAAATGTAGTCTTGGCCTGGTAGCAGAAGAGGAGAGGAGAAGAGCTCCCAAGTAAGGAACCCAGTTCCTTGAGGAGGGTAGAGCTCCTGCAGCACTTCCAGCAAAGACCAACAAGGCCACCTCTGTAAATTCTCAAGGTCCAACAAATACATTTGGATACTGCCATCACACATTCCAGAGTCTCAGCTTTTTTCCTTATCTGATCCACACTTCAACGTAGCAGATTGCTTCAACTGATCGTGAATACAAGACCAGAGTTCTATCCCGCAGCCATTAGACCACGGTAACATTTTTGTAAGAGAAGTGAGGAAGTGCACTCTCTCATTGACCCCAAAAAGAATGACAGGGAATGTTCTCATCGTGGTTTCTGTAGGAAAGAGATGGAAAAAAAAGAAAGATGGATAGAAAAAGTCTTAAATTCTGGCTCCAACGCAGCTCTTAAAAAGTTTCAGCATGGAAAACAGTCTTTGAGGCCTGCCTTGTTAGTCTTGCCATGTGTAATCACTAGTAGAAAGCACTTGTTGAGAATGGCCTTAAACAAATATAGTAGTCAACTCACAATGCAGCACAGCTGAACTACCATTAATTATGACCCTTCTGGTAGGAAATCTGAGAAGTATATTTTCATATCTGTGACAGCTATGGTCCCTGAGTTATAAATTTGGATACTTCTCTAGTAGCCAAATGTTCTCCCTGTAATAAAATCTGTGCTGATGCTATTTCCCCTTCCATTCCCAGGGGTTTCAGCTTTTCTACTCCCACAACCCTGCTCCCAAACTCAAAACTATTCTTTCACTATATTATAACCTGACTCCCATAAATTACCCAAGACTTTTCCAAAACACATCTCCCATAAATTACCCAAGACTTTTCCAAAACACTTTCTTCAAGTTACATTATATTTGAAAATATCCTAAACTTCATTTAGTTCCTGTACCAAAAAGATCCTTTTAGGCTTTCCTCATAATTCCAAAGTTCACCTGAAATTATCTAGTGGACATGGAATAAATGACTGAATGATTATTAGAGGTATCAACATGTTTCATCTCTACTCTGTAATCATCAAAGTCTTTCATTTCTTTCTACTTTTAATAAGTAGTAGGCATATTCTTTCTAATTAAAAAATTTCCTATATAGTAGTATGTCATTTACACCAGCAGCACCCTCATACGTTGTGCTTACCACATCTGCTGATTGCAATCAAGAGGCCACATACAGTGATTGACCCAAACCACCTAGTATTACATAAGCATACTCCACAATGTTTGCACAATGTCAAAGTCACCTAAAAACACATTTTTCAGAATGTATTTCTACATGATAGGATTGTTGAGCTAAAATAAATTGTTTGATCTAAACAAAAGAAACAAAGAGTCAGACATAGATTTACTAAGTTTTCCTGTTCATGGAGACCAGAGAAAAAGTCTGTGCTGGAGAGAAAGGGAAGGCAGGACCACATAGCAATCTACGATTTTAATGTAGGAGTCCTTCACTCTTGCTAGATTACAGAACTATAAATAACTCATGGTATTTGGTTGATACTGAGTGATACAATTGATACAATTGAGTATTTGATTGATACTGAGTGATACAATTGATACTGAGTGATATGTCAGTAAAAAAATCCTATCATATTATATTTAGCAAAACAAAGATTTAGTAATTTTTACCAGAGATTATGAAACAAAAATTAAAAGATTTAGAATGTTCATTTCATTTCAGTGGGAGTCTTCATTGCTTCACTGGCTTTGGAATAGTAACACAAATTAATTTAATAAATATTGACACGTCTGACAAAGCACTACATTGCTGTGTCACGTTTAGAAGTCACAGAAATATAAAGTGAAGCAAATCTAAAGTCCTCACTCAAATTAATCACAAAACTTTATATAGCATAAATTACTATATATATTATATAGACATAGTCTTATTTAGCACTGAATTTAAATCATATAAGCTATGTGTCCTTCAACTAGAAATAGATGGATTTGATAAATGGTCAGCAGAAGAACACACTATCACAAAATCCTACTCTGCTGGAGTCTCATGAAATAATCTGAAGTTCTAGCTAGAGGAAGAAACAACTATGAATTATTTTACCTTCCTCATATCTTATACCATTTCATAAGAAGTCCACTTTTCTCTATTATAACACTTTTATAAGAGAAGTGAAGAAGTGCATCCTCTCATCTACCCCAAAAAGAATGGCAGGGAATGTTCTCATCCTGGATATTTAAGGACAAGGACCTGCCACCTCAAGGAGAAAAGCAAGTGACATACACAGAAGCTGACCACAGGCAAGCCTTTTTTTGCCTCCCCCACCAAGTTACTAGTACTACTAACCTTTTATTCAATTTAAGAAGAGAGACCATACCATCAATAGATAAATAAATATACAAGCAAGCCGGCACATAATATTAGTTACCATTTAATATAGTATAGAAAACAAAGTAATTCACTGAACAAACACTTCTAAATGATTTTCAAGTTCTAAACATTTCAGTTCACTGGTTTAAATGCACCACGTACATCCAGAGTATCTCCTCTGATTTTTGCCCAAAAATTTTCCTAAAATACTCGTATTGTTATATAGTCCATTATTATATGCCTATGTAATAAATGTATACATACACTAAATTTCCTTAGGATAAAAAGATGGCTTAAATAATCATCATTTTTAAGACCTGTCTTAGTTACTTTTCTCTTATTGCTAAGACAAAATGCCTAACACAAAATTAAGGAAGGAAAGGTTTACTTATCTCACAGTTGGTGGAAGTTTCAGGTCCTTATCAGTTGGCTCCATGGCACATTGGTATGGTGAGGGGCAACAGTTCAAGGCAGCAGAAGACAGCAAAAACAGCAAAAGCACAAGGTGGAGAAGAGCAAGTCGCTTGTCCTCATATTGTAAGTGAGCTACCACCCACTAGGGTGAGATAGCACATACACCACCTCCTTCCCCTCCTCTTGCATAGGCACAGGATATTTACAAAGGATCCTGGCTCCAGAAACTTTTAAACCAAGTTGACATAATGTATCAACCATTACAATACCCAAGATAATTGCTGCTATACAGGTAGGTTTTAAGAAAAAAAAAAAAAAACGAGGAAGTCAAAATAATTCAAATGAATGCACGTTTAATTTAAAGCTGTTACATATAAAAGAAAGGATTATAAAGCAGCTATTGCAGACTAATGAAGAGGAAAAATTGGCAATTATAAACACATGCAATTGTACTGATGTGTTAATTCAAATTTTATGTATACAATTATTTACAGTATCCAAAATAAGTATTAATTTTGAAAATAACATGCATATAACAACATTTAACTAAAATTTTTATTGATTTACAAAGAAATGCCATTAATTTAGAGACATTTTTCCATTCAATTTATAAAGTCATAATTCCAACAAAACATCCCAAAATAATAAATAAATATGATTCCATTTAACATTCCATCTTTCAACTCTTCATCGTCTTCCCCAGGAAACAGACCCAAAGATAGGTTAATCCTAAATAAAAAGTGACAAAATTAAATCATACTAAAATTAACTATCATGTCAGTAGTTATTGAAAACTGCAACATTCTAAGACTAAAAAGAACATTTAGATATTCTCTTTACATACTGTTTTGGCAACTTTTACTTTCTACAGGTGACCACAGAAGTATCTGATGAATTCAATGTGTAGTTCATATTTTTCTTTCCATTCCAGTTCCTGCTAACACCCTTGGTAACTTCAACACTTCATTTACAAGAATCATGTCACAGCACTGCATCACAGGCTTCTAACTCCGGGCCATTGCAGCCATTCACAAGTGAGCCTATTTACTAGACAGTGTCATCATTTATGTTTTACTCCTAGGCACTAGAACTCTTAAAATGTTCCTGACTGATACATGTCTGTCCTTCTACTTTAGTTCCGTTTTACTGTCACCCAATAAGGTCTTCATTCTTCTTGGAACTGCCAGTTCCTTAATCATCTGAAAGCTTCACCTGCCTCCATCTTCAGCCCCTCAGCCATCTCTTTTTACACCTGATTAAGCCCCTAGAAACCCGGGCTCTGAAACTGAAAAGCCTTTATCCTTGACATTGTCTGACATGCTGTACTCAATCTTCTGCTCCTTCTCCATCCTTACACTGACATTTTTATCTGCAACTACTATTAGAACCACAATATAATCTTTATGAAGGATATAGCTATCACACCAGATCCAATACAATGCTTCTAATTGCTTGCTCTGTATTTTCACCTGCAACCCTCAACATGATAAAAATAAAACTCAATGCATGCATTAAACAAGTTCTTCTGCCTGGCTTCCTCATTTCTTATTTACTAATTCTCAACACTCAGTACCTTCTTTTTGATCCCTACGTCTAACAATGTGTCCCTCTCTGCCCCTTCTGTCATGTTATTTAAATGCATTTTGTTTTCCTCTTGGACTGCTATTACAGACCCTAGAGTTTTAACCTACCAATTTGCCTCCTTTAAAACCTTTTCTATGAATGGAATTCAACTCTTTCTAAAACGAAGTCCTGAAAGCTGTTTTAAAAAGTTTTATATAATGCTGGCGAATAAGATATTTGTGTATACTCTTATTTATTTTTCCATGCAATACTTATTACAAAAGAAAAACTGTAACTATAAATAGACAACTTCACCAAAGATCCAAAGTAACCCCACAAAAAGGAGTCAATGAAAGTTAATACATAACTCCAAATATGATGCTTATGTAAAGTTCTAGACAAAATGCATAACAAATCAAATAACAGGAAAGTATCAGCATATCCAGAGAGACTGTCTGAAAAAAAACTGACCTATATTCTTCAAAAATATCAATATAATGAAAGCAAAGAAAGGTTAAAGAATTGTTACAGATAAAAGAAGAACAAAAAAAGAGACATGACAACTAAATGCAATACATGATCCTAGATTGGATGTGGTATATGAAAAAAACTCCAATTAAAGACAACATTTGGACAGTGGGATGACAGAATAAAAAGTACTGATTAGTTTAAAATTTTATATCAATCTAAATTTCTTGCATTTTCTAATTGTAGTGTAGTTATCTAAAGTATATGATTGTTCCTAAGATATACATATTAAAGGAATAAAGATGTATAAATACAGAGAAAAAATGAGAAAGCAAACGTGACATGTTGCTGGTGAGTTTGGGTAAGAGGGTTACTAGAATTCATTGTATTAGTCTTGACATGTTCTTTACAGTTGGAATTATTTAAAATAAAAGCTCAAAAAAGTTTCATGTTTCTTTACTGTATCCTGAACAGAGTACGAATCCTTCCCCAGTGTTCAAGTGAGACTCTGATTATAGGCTCAGCATTCTTTTGTACCTTTCTTTAATTACTATTTTAAACAATCTTTTGCCAAACTGTACATTCCATAAACACTTTTTTAAAATCGATAAATTTTGCTCGTCTTCATATCTCAAATATATTTTGTGCCTCACATTTCCACTTACGAAAGTCTAGTTTTCTTTCCAAGGCCTATATTACCTTCCCCATTACTTTCAAATTCTGGGAAACTGGGCATGATCTCGCCCTAAGAGGGGAATGAGGCCAGGTAATTAAGGAGTCAGGGACACAGCAGAAAGGAAGTGTGAAAATATGATATGCGCAGCTTAAAATACCTTAAAGAAATTCAGGAAAAATATCTTAGAATGTCTTAAAGAATTCAGGAACAGAACAGATATATATTTTTAAGTAGAAATATATCTTTAAAATATCTGAAAGAAGTCAGGAATAGATATTAAATCATCTACCCAGAAAGATGCACTGAAGTTAAAAATGTAATGAGTTATCCGAGAGAAAATATATAAAGAAAGAAAGGACTAACAATTATTCCTAGGACAGCAAAAGAGAAACATCAGAAATACACAGAGAATACAATTAGAAAGGCAGAAAGAGTGCTTACTATGTGACAAACACTAGATTAAGGAAGAAAATAGAATGGAACTAGCAATGGTTATACACTAAAAGTTGGAGAAGGTGAGATATAAAAGGGAAGAGAAAAATATATAATTATTATCATATAGATTCTTACCGGATGATGACAGGAAGGTTTATTTTGTATAACTTGAGTCTAGAACAACATAAAATGCAACAAAAATTTAAGAATGGCCTCTAGCACTGATTTCCTTATTAATAAATGTTATTAAGAAATATAATTATAACAGTTTGCAACATAATTATTAGTTTTATGAAAACGTTTTGTAATTTTTTTTTTTGTCTTTTTCCTTTTTTATCGGTACCGGGGATCGAACTCACGACTGCCTGCTTCCAAGGCAGGCGCTTATGCTGCTGAGCTAAACCCCCAGCCCCCAAAAACGTTTTGTAATTTAAAACTATTAAAAGCATATATATTAGTTCAGCGGTGTAAGTGCCTGCCTGGAAAGCCACAAGGTCATGAGTTTGATCCCTAGGACAAAAACAAAACAAAACTATTAAAGCCAGGCATGGTGGTGCACACCTGTAATCTCAGCACTCAGGAGGCTGAGGCAGGAGGATCTCTTTGAGTTTCAGACTAGCCTGGGCTACATATGCAAGTTCAAGGTCAACCTGCACTACACAGTGAGATCCCCACAAAAAAACAAACAATAACTATAAAATACTTCTGCAAAAATACAACGTATTACTTTAAACTGTTAAATGATCATTACAAGATTACTATATGTTCAATAGAAGACCACTTGCTGAGGCAGAAAAGACCTCACAAAGTTCAAGGTTATGTAATGACTGGACTAACATTCTGAATTACATCCAGATTTTTCTTTGCACATTGCTCTGCCTAGTCAGACATCTATTTCTTCTAAGAAATATCTGACTACTTCCTAATGTCCCCCATTCTCCTGCTTAATTGGGTAAGTAAAGTAGAGTACTATAAATCTAAACATTGGTTTATACGTCATTATTGCAAATAATTTATGTTACTATTGATTCAATAGTACATGAACATGAACATTTCCAGTGTTATACTGCTAATAAAATGGCATTGTTTTATTTCTTATTTTATTAAAATGCTTTTCACAAATTAAAATACTGCAAGATTAATAACTGTTAAATAGAAACAGTCATCAAGGTATCATACTGAGCACCAAGTAGTAGTATGCATATTAGGACACATATCTGTAGGGAAAAACAGTAGCTATTTTGATTCATCAGTTTATGGCATTATTAGCTAAGTTAATTTTATTCAAGTTAATATTTTGAGGATCCAGAACTTTCAATTCTTTTAGTAAACATAGCAAATTATATCTAACTTGCCCTGACAACAATATGAACTCAATATCGGTGCAGTGTTAGAACACAGTTTAATTCATGAGTCGTTTTCCAGAAATAAAATAATGACATCAAGCCCATAATACAAGGGCAGTTTTTGTTAAATGCATTAAATTGTACTGCAGTACTCATGAAAAGGAAATGACTACAAGAAGTTACGTATAATACGTTACTTTATATTGGAGTTTAAATGTTTGTCTTCACCAATATGGATAAATTTTATAATCTGAATTAAAATTCTGACATTAAAATTCACATTGAATGGACAAGTGAGTTTACTTTGCTCCATAAATTCCAGTTACATGCATATTCTGCACTGTACTCATATATATCAATAAATATCTATACAGTACCAAAGTTCACTCTACACTCGCTTGAAGATGCTTTGCACTTTTAATTACAATGAATAGTGGTAATGTGGTAATCTCATTTCTATAGTTCTGTACATTAAATATGATAATTAGGAAAACTACTAGCCTAATGTGGTCTAACATTAACTAAACTGTTGATAGAAGCCAGTCTTCTTTAATACAATGAAAACTGTTAACTTACTTTCACTAGATGATCTTTGGCAGTTAAGCCTAAGTCTGTAATTTTCATTTTCTTCAAGCATTCTAGAAATGACTTTGTATACACTATCCCACACTGATATCTTAAAAAGAAAAGCACAGTTAGGGAACACAAACCAGAAAAGTAGGAATACATTTTGATTGGGAGTGACTCTGCTATGTTGCATGTCAATTGTTATAAAGCAAACTGGCACACAGAGAACTAAAATTTAAAAGTCATAGTTTACCCATGATCACAAACTATCTGCTCTCTTTTCTAATTTCCAAGAATTTCTTTCCTATAGTAGTTAAATTAATTGTAGTAGATGAAGCTTCATCCTGTAAGTCATAAATTTCTACCTCAATGGTTCTAATATATTCAATTTTCAAAAGCAACAAACATAGTGACTTTCTATTCTGATTTATAAATCATTTGATCAGCGATTTGATTTTTAATGCATTTTATTATAGTTGAGAATTAAAGATTTCTCCCAGAACATACCAAAGCAAAATTACTATAGGTTGTTAATAGTTCAAAATAGATAAAATATGAACTATGAAACCAAACTGCCACTTTATGAGTTTCTTGACACTAGATAAGTGTTTAAATAACATACAGGGGTATCTTCACACACTGAATTATTAGCAATAATGAAAAATGTATATATAAAGCATTTACACTGGTGGCTGACACATAACAGTTCAAATTAAATATTGTTCTCACTCAAAATAAAATGGTTCTTAGAAGAAATAGTTCTTAATTCAGTGAGATTAGATGCCCACTCAAAATCCTCACACAGTGATAGGTGGCTTCTTAGAGGTGGCTGGGTCTAGGGTGGGTCACACTGGGATTAAGGATGTGATGTGCAATCAAATGTGTGGTACTGGGATAAAAGAAGGCTTGCTCAAGGTGTGGGTGGCAACAGTCAAAAGGCAGGTAGCCTGGAAGGCATGAAAGGGAGAGGCAGCCTGCTGCTTGCTGCCTTGTCTGCCCTGCTTTGCCATGGACTGTTTTTCCTCCTTGATGCCCCTCTGCCATGCTACTCTGCCTTGAAGCCAGCCAACTATGGACTGGAACCTCTACAAACTAAGATGAAATAAACATTTTCTCATCGAACTTTGGGTGTTAGGTATTTTGTCTTAGCAATGAGAAAAGTAAGACAAAGGGCTAGTCAACTTCAATGCTATTTTATACTACACAGATTATATGTCAAACAAACTCAAAGTTCAGAAACAATATAATTGTATATGCCACAATCAAAACTTTCTTTAAACTAAAATTGCAATCAAATATTAGTATAGCATCTGATCTTGGGTATATTTAAAACACTCAAGTTACCATGATAGCTGGACAACCAATGTCAACAATTGAACAGTAAAGGTTCATCTTTGTCAGTTTTCTTGCTAAAAATTTAATATGTATTCTTTGTCTTTGAAAAGAGTGCTACAATACCAATATACATGCATTATTCTTGTCTACGAAATTCATGATTTTTTCTTCTTATACCACATTACCTATTAGAATTTATCATACTCTCTATAGCATAGTTATGCTTTGAAAAAATCTCCCAGTGGATTATGTCTTGATTAAAATGTACTTTATACCTTCAAATACTAGAATATCTATTCCTTTTAGTTAATAAACATTTCCAAGCCTAGTTCCATTTCTGCCAAATTCTATTTTCTCCTTTCAGAAAATTAAATTATTCAAAAGACGTAACTATTTTCACATCTTGAATATCTTCACACATTTTATTCAGAGAGGATTACCTAAAATTCAAATATTGCTCACTGCCCTTTACAATAACATACCTTTTTTCTTTTTTTCATTATTTTGCAAGATTCACGCAACTGAACGGGAAAGTCAAACACTTTAGCTGCATCCTTCTGGGTTAAATCTAATTTTGAAAAAAAAGTCAAAATGCAAGATGTGAAAATGAATATATGTTTAAGGAACTCATTATCATGACAATAAAGACCTCAGAAATTTCTCTTGATCTCTGTGTATTTTTACAGTTGTTGGTGTATTTCTGATCACTAGGTAATGCTACTTTACCATTTAGCTAGTTACATGCTGAAAACAGTCATGAAAACTGGAACTAAATAAACTTGTAAGTAGCAAAGAAAGCCTCCATCTAGTTTCACTCTCCCTTCTTTTCTGTTAATGAGGTAAGCCCTCAAAGTGTCAATAAAAACACAGAAATACCAGAAACTACACCTTGCCCCATTGTTTTCCTCTAGTCTCTATCTCGTTAGGTCAGCTCCAAAAACACTGTATGCTTCCAATAACACAAAACACCTTGTGATTTCTCCTTCATGTCTTATTCTTACCCTTGCTAAGCTTTGTACATATTTCTCTATCAAGCTAAAATAGTATATATAAAACACACATATACACCTTCCGGTCAAGTTTACACTTGTTCTTCAACTCATGCATCACCTCCTCTTCACATGTTTCTCTCAAGGGTATACAGATCCGCATACAGTACTGTTTCTTATAAATCCTTATCACAGCACTTAGCATACTTTTATATCATATATTTATCATGTGTTTCCTCTACTAGGCTCTGAATTCCAGGGCAATGGCCACGTGTGTTTTATTCGTTTTTTATCCAATCACACAGTAATACAGAGATCCTTGACTTATGATGAGGTTATAATCCCATAAAAACCATTGTAATTTGAAAATGTACTGAGTCAAAAATGCATTAAATACATCCAAACTGCCAAACATCATAGCTTAGCCCAACCTCCCTTAAATGTGCTCAGCAAACTTACATTGAATTAACTGTTGGATATCTAACATAGTACCTACTTTACAATAAAGTGTTGAATATCTCATGTACACACAGATGATGTTTTGTAGACATAATAAAATGGAAAAACACAAAATTTGATTAAAACTGGCAATGCTATACAACGTAGAGTATCTGTTGTTTACACTGGAGATCATGTGGACCACTGGAGTTGTAGCTCTCTGCCAATGCCAGAAATTGTAAGGAGTATCCTACCATGTATCAATGTTTCCATAATAGTTGAAAAACTGGCTAGGTTAGTCATAAATTGGCAGAGATTCTCCAGAGAAAATAAGCTTCCTGGCTCCATTCACTAAGCCATACTGCCTTTCTAAATGTTAAAGCTATTAGAATAAAGTCAGGGCTTTGTCCAAACACAAAACTGTAAAACGCTATGCATGTAGTCCCTGAAGGCCTTATATTTGCTTTCCTTTTGTCTCTGACATTCATGCCACCTTAACCCTTCCTCTCTTCATTCCCACCCTGCTAATACCCTATAATGCCTGGCTTTCCCTACCTATTTATTGGTTAGGATTCTAGGAGGTATTCTCTGATATCACAAAGCAACATATTCTCAGCACAGTATTCATAACATTGCTTACCTGAAGAGTGCATTTATTGTTCAATAAAATTCTATTTTGAATTCTGTTGATATTAGATACACATATTGGATATTTTTTAATGAATTGGAATATGCTCTAAAATGCCACTTCCTAAATTGTGAGATGCACGCCATTTGATGCTGAGTGAAGCCCAGATACAGCACTAAAGAATATCAACTCACCGAACATGATGACGTATTCTTATAACCCCACTTAATCAGGAGACTGAGGCAGAAAGACTGAAAGTTCAAGGATGGCCTAGGCAATGGAGAACCTCACTCCTTTTCCAATTCTTTTTCAATCCTCTTATTATATCAACAAGGAAGTCTGAGTTTGGTACTAGGATGTCATTTAAATGTCCCTAAAATGTTGCCCTTTATGACTATCAATGACCTTCAGCAGACAACCTATTTAACTAGAATTTAATAATAGTGCTTTGCCTTTACTAGATTTTTGAAATAAATTTCTATTTATGGCAAACAGTACAAATTTTTCATTGAGTTATGAGGCAAAGTATTCTAAAAATAAATTTAATTGACAGGAAAAAGTATGTATTTATATAAGTACACAATACATCTACAGATGATATGTAGATGGTATGCATAGAAAAATAACTTATTTTTGGAAAATTTCTCTTCATATTGCCATATTTATCCTTCCCCCTAAATGCTTACACACTTCAGAGCACTACAGAAGCATCATCCCCAAATACCTCCTGCTAAGTCTTATCTAAACTGTACCTACACTCCTTAAGGCTGGGATAAGAATAATCAACTCTATCTTTAATAATTGGAAATATAAGCTCTGTAAAGTACAGAGGGTATGCAAAAGTAAAAAGACAATATTTTTCCACTGATATTTTGTAATGCACTGAGGTCACCCCAGTATAATCCATGAACTCTGTCCTAACTTATGTTTCAAATCTTTCTTTAGCCCTCTTCCAATACATTCTGACCCAAATTGTGGTTCTAGTTCTTCCATAATCACTGCCCATCACTGAGCCATACTCAAACTTTGCTCACGTGTTTTTTCCACTTGTCCTTTGCTCCTATCTCAGCACCAACTGAGTATCTCACGGAACTTCTACCACCAAGAAGCTTCCCTTGATTCCCTCATCTTCAAACTATTTGCAACTTCCAAGACTTTAATTTGCAATAGTATCTATTATCCTCTATTATTTGTGAATTATGATTATATTTCCTAACCCTGTAAGACAGGAAATCAGCCTGATTGTTGGTGTGGTTAGAAATGTTAGAAGAGTGGCTTAATCTGTCTGCCCTTGGATCTTGACTCCAATGTATCTTGGCCATGCTTACAAGCTCACTTTCCAGAGTGCACCAGTAACTGATAACTTCACTCCATCATTCAAAAATCTTTAGTGATTACAAAATGACAAGCAACCCACAATCTGATTCAAAACTTGTGTCGTTCATTCAATAAATATGTAATACATGTCAACTATCTGGTGGATGCTAGATTAATACCTTTTTCCCTCAAGTTATTTTTGCTTAATGTGACAGACACTTAATTCTGTGACAAACACAATACTAGGTGCTCTGCACAAATTACTCCATATAGCTTTTATGTTAAGATAGGGCCTACCATTCCCATTTTACAGACAAAGAAAGAGAGGTTCATAATAGTTAAGCAACATGGTCAGTATTGCTGATACATAATAGCCAAGATCATTTATCTGACTTCAAAGCTAATGCTCTTTATAATTTTTACTATCTGCTAGAAATTTTTTTAATACTCTCGATTTTCTGCCTCAATGTCTCTTCTTTCTCTAAACTTGATTATTAAAGCCTACTTCTGTCTGATAACATGCACAACTACTGATTTATATTACCATAATTCATGTATAAATTCCTTGAGTAAACATTTGTTTGATACATCATGTGGACTGGCATCAGACCTGGTGGCCAGTGGAATAGATGTTAAATAAATTTTGTCACTAGCACCAGACCTTGTAGCCACAGAGTGGTAGATGTTAAATAAATGTTGTTTAATGAATAAATAATTCATCGTTATTCCCTTTAGAGAACCAAGCATAAATACTTATCATCTAATTAATAAATAATTTTTTAGAAATTAAACACTGGCTAATTTTGATCAAGAAAAAGGAGAAAGCACATATATTAAAAAAGAAATAATGAGGGCAAAATAAACATTAAAGCACAGGAAACTTTAAGAAATAAACAGCAAAACACAGGAAACTTTAAGACACCATACAAACACTTTTGGAAACCTAGATGCAATGGATAAGGAAATACAGATTACAAAAATTGATGCCTTATAGTTAGAAAGTGTAACCAAACCAATTTCCATTGAAGATATCAAGAAATCTATTAAGAAATCATGCCACAAAGAAAGCAGTAGGCTTTTGGTCAGACCTCTGTTTAGTAATAGTCAGATGCCTTTGCAAAGGAATTTTACCAAACCTTCCAAGTCTAGAGAGTCTCAGTGTTATATAAATTATTCCAGAACATAGAAAAGGAAGGGAAAAAATCCTTATTACTTTCTCAACGTAAGCATAACTCTGATATCTAAACCAGGTAAAGAAATGCAAAGAAAGAGAAACTACAGATTACTCTCTCTCCTGAATACCAATGCAAAAATTCTAAACAAAAAATTAGTAAACAGAGCTCAAGACTTTGTTAAGAAAATAATACAACAGAAGCAAGTGAGACTCATTTTAGCAACACATGGTTAGTTTGACACTTGAAAATTTATATCATATCTCATATTAATAAATCTAAAATAATTATTACCTCCAAAGATCTAACAAAGCTTTTGACAAAATTCAACATCTACTCACGATTTTTAAAAGACACTAAAAATAATAAAAATCGAAGAATATTTCTAATAGTGTATGCCAGACAGTGGGACATGCTTGTAATCTTAGCACTCAGGAGTCAGAAGCAAAAGAGTCTAGGCCAGCCTAGATCACATAATAAGCATATGTCTCAAAAAAATGTGTATGACTTAACCTTACAGCCAGTATCCTGTTTTACTGAGAATCATTAGAAACATTTTGTATAACCGAAGTCACAAAGCAAGGATGCTTATCTACTATTTGACCCATACATGAGTAGCTAGTGTAATTTAAAAAAGAAAGATCTATTGTACACAAGAATGTATAAAAAGAAATCAAATTATCTCTACATAAATACATTCCTGGATATACATATACCTGAAAAGTTACAGAAATCAATTATAAAATTTGCTCTATTAATAAAGGAATTTAATCAATTTATAGAATTTAAAATTAACACACAAAAATCAACATGGTAAGTGAAAAACAGCTAATCCAAAAGGCCTCACTATGTATGATTCCATTTATGTATTTGAAATATGCAAATTATGGAGGCAAAGTAGATTAGTACTTGTTTCTGGCTGAGTTGGGGGATAGTGAAGTGGGATAAAAGTGAATGGCAGGTGACGGCTAATGGATAGAGTTTGGGGGATAACAAGAATATTTTTAAATTGACTGCAGGGATGGTAAATATGTCAACTTTTGTAGGGAAAAACAAGTTTTCTATACAAAGACCGTAATGACTGATGATGTGCTTTAAGCGGGTTGAATTCTATGCACTGTGAATAACTTGTCACAAAATCACTTTTTAAAAGTATAGATGGGGGATGGGGACATAGTTTAGCAGTACAGCACCTGCCTTGTAAGGCCGAAGTTGTGAGTTCGATCACTGGTAGAAAAAAAGAAAGAAAAAGAGAGAAGTATGGGTTCTCAAAAGAAAAGCAGTAGAGATAATGGAAAACGTTCCATATCTTGATTGCGGTATATAGTGTGGATTTGTCAAATTTTCTGAAACATAGATTAATCCTCAGTAAAGTTGATTTAAAAAGTCAATACGTTTCATATACATAAAAATTTAGAGGGTATTTTGAAGAAGAATATTATAATAACAGTAAAAATAGAGAAAGATTAGAAATAAATTTAGCAATGGAAATCCTACAATGAGGAAAATTTAATGCAAACACATCCTGGGTTTAGATGACGCCTCCACAGATTCCAGATATCATTTCACCCTGTAAATTAATTTGCAATTTCAGCGAACCTCTGTGAACCACCATCATGCAATTCAGGGTCCCCATGAGTCCAGGAGACTGAAGTCCCCATGCAACTGAAGTCCCCACCATCATGCAATTCAGGGTCCCCATGAGTCCAGGAGACTGAAGTGGCTCACAGTCACCTCTCCTTTCGGGTCCGGGTTATCCCAACCACGAGCTCACTTCGGCAGTACCCGGGCTAGCATTGGATTATCTCAGCCTGTGTTTGTGCAGCAGCTGCCTTTTGTAGGGCGCTCTCTGCAGTGCATTAAAAGGCTTCTAGCCCCACCTAGGGCTGCAACATAGAGCACAGGAGGCCTGACTGGCGCCTGAGGGGCTGACCAGAGCGAAGGCTGGCGAAGGGGCTGACCGGATGGTCAGTTTTTAAGAGAACAGACCCGTGGCCCAGAAGGCCGACGACAGCTTGGCAGCCAGAGCCGGCGCGGGAAACATGGCGGCCGCAGCGGCTCCGCCCTACCCGGCTCGGCCCGGCCCTGCCCGGCCCTGCCCGGCCCACCCCTCGCCTCGCCCCGCCTACCCGCGCCGTCTGCACGCGCCGCGGGCCTGGTTCCCCTCGCAGTGCCCGACGCCCGCAGCTGGGGGCCGGCGGAGGTGGGAGCCACAGCGCCCTTGGGCCGGGAGCCGGTGTGCGGCTCGCCGCTGCCCAGGACCCCCGGCTTTGCCACCGCTTCCCGTGGCTCCTTCTGGCGGCGGCGGCGGCGGGCTCCAGGCCCGGGACCACCCAGCTCCAGGACGCCACCGCACTGGTGCGAGCCGAAGCGGGTCACGTAGACGAAGCGCGCTGGGTTCCGCTTCTGAGCCTGGCCTGTTGGCACCATGGCACCCTCTCTGCCCCCACCAGCCTCGGAAGAGACCACTGGGCGGGGGGTGGGGGGGTGCGGCGTGGACAACTGTACATGTGCAGGGGATGGGGGTGGGATATACGTGGGCCTGAGCTGCGAAACGAGACCACTGTGGGCTGTGAGATCGAGGGAGTAAGGGATGAGAGATCCAGTCCAGAGTGCCAGATGATGCTGGGACCCTGGAGAAGAAGCAAAACCCTTTGCTAAGGGAGGGTTCCAGTAGGACCTTGGCCTGTCAACTGTTGGTTATGGGCTCATTTGCTCAAGAAACGCCCCTTAGAGAGAATGTGGGCTTGAGACCAGCATCTGAGCTGGACCAGAGTCCCCGCATGTTAATCCCTGGGCAGCTGGGTTATTGCAGCAAGCTACACTGAGCCTCCTATTTCCTCAGACGCAAGAATAAATTAAAATACTGATTTTCTGGCATATAGTAAAGGGCAGTTCCCTTTGACTTAACTTTCATTTTCCATTTATGCAACACATCCCTGTGAGGTGCACATTGTAATTGACAATTGAAACTTCACAAATAGCTTTCCTATTGACCATCTTTTTAAATCCTATAACATTTGTGGCAGAAAAACTTAGGTTACAAAATGCAGAATGACATCCCCAAGTAACAGATAGTGACTGAGAAATACTTTCTAAATAAACCAATATTCTTTGATTATAAGTATACATGGAAAATTGCCTGAGAATAAAAAAATATGAATCTACACACATTCAGTATACCCAAGTAACCGAGAAATGGTGCAATGCAGAAGCACCTCTCATCTTGTCTCTCTCCTTTTTCCTAATTTCAAGCATCATTAGTTAGATTTGCCCAATGTGTTTGATTTCTTTCACTCAAGTTGTTCCTGTGAGACAGTTATTACATGAGTTTGTACATCACTTGAATACAGAACTACCCATCCATTCCATGGTAATGAACATTTGGTCATTTCCAATTTGAGACCATGAATAGTAGTGCATAGGGACATATAGATATCTTTTGTGGGATATATGTTATATTGTGTATATCTTGATTTGGAATTATTTAGGGTGGTGATGGCAAGCATTTTAAAGCTTTCAATGATACCGCCCGCTGTGGCATGCATCCCGTATGTTTGCCACTACTAACTTAGGTATTCCTATGTTCATCTCTAATAGCTGCTAATAAATCAGCTTCCAAAGTGATTATACCAATTTACACTCCCAACAACAAAGTATAGGAACTGCAATTATGTCACACATTTGCCACCTCTTGACACTGTCAGTCTTCACTTTAGCCATTTTGGTAGGTTGTATATTAGTGTTCTGCAGCGAAAAGGAACCAGTAAAGTGTGTATGTGTTTGAGAAAGACTGACTTCTGATTGCAGGGTACACAGAGACATCGAGGGAAAAATCCATGCTGCACTTCCATTCTGAAGGCCATCTGCTCACAGAATTCCCATTGCTTTCCATGAGATCCACCTTTTTCAGTGAAGGTCTTCAGCTGATTGGAAGAAGCCCAGCCCCATTATGGAGAGTAATACACTCACTATATCCTGTCTGCTGGCTTAAATCTTAGTATCATCCAAAATATACCTTCACAGAAACACATAGAATAAAGTTTGACCAAATATGAGGCTACTGAGGCCTAACCATACGAACCCATAATAATCATTATAGGGTAATATTGCATTATAATAATTTGCATTTCCCTGATAAGCGATGAGGTCTTCAGTTTGGACACCTGGATAAATATTTTTGTGTTTAAATCTATTAGATCTCGTTTCTTGAGGCTCTCATATTTTTCTCACTCATTAAGAAGAGCTCTATATATTTACTATATGTGTTGCAAGTAATTTTTTCTAATTACTCCCATCTTTTATCCTCTCTATGGACATTTGATAAATAAAAGCATAAATTTAATATAATTCAATGTATCAACCTTTTTTCTTTAGAACTATACTTCTGTATTTGGTTTAATAAATTTTTGACTATTGCAGGAAATACTCTTCTTTTATCGTCTAAAAGTTATTGCTTTATTTTCACATGTAAATCTCCAACCCACCTAGAACTGAATTTTATGAATAATATGGTGTAGAGGAGACAGGATTAATTTATTTTTCATATAAATATTCAATTATACTGACATCAATATAATGTTGAATATAAATGATGATAGTAAATATTTTTCTCTTCTGATCTGAAAGCTTTGATATTAGACTATTAAGGTATAATATTTGCCATCGGCTTGGTTTTTGTCATTTCCTGAATCACATTAAGTTCCCTGGTCATATTTTGCCAAGAGTTTTTAACACTGGATGCCTAAGTTTTATTCAGTGTTTTTGCTGTATTTGCCAAGATGTTTATATGATTTTATTATTTTTTCTGTAAATATGATGAATTACATTGGTTTATATTTATTAAGCCAACTCTTTATTCTAATGAGTTGGGAAGAAAAGCTGTGTGGTTTTATCTCTGTTCTACATGACAATCAACACATAAGATGTCTATCATCTAAAAAGGTGTGGAAATTTCTTCCCATCAGCAAGCAACCAAACAATTCTGTAGCAAACACCAACTGGTGTCTAATTCAGTTAGGTTCTGACACTGCTTATCTAAAAAGTATCAGATTCCACACGTTGAAGGTTCAGTCTCAAAGTCTGCCCCCAACACACAGATAGACAGACAGACAGACACACACACACACACACACACACACACACACACACACACGAAACTTTCGATGCCAGTCACACAAACCTGTGCTTCTGATTGACCAGCTAAATATCCGAGTTTTCACAACCTGTCCTTGAGTTTAATTTGGCAGAGCAGCTGACAGAACTCATAAGAATATTCCCAAATTTATTATAAAAACATTTTACAAAAGTTAGTGATGCACAAGGTGAGGTATATACAGGTGGGAAGACTACAAAGATCACATCCCTTCTCCAGGAGCACCACCCTTTGGAAATCTGTTATCCAGAAGCTCTCAGAACCCTGTGGTTCTTGGATTTCAAAGAGACTTTGTAGCATAGGTGTGATGGCTCCATGGATAACTGTGTGGAAGTAGGATTGGAGAGGAAGAGTCTAATCAGATGCTAATAGACCAGAAAGGCATAATTAGCAAGCCATTCATTTTTAGCCTCACTGCAACCTTCTTCCCTCCAGGGCATAGGGCAGGGCCCCTATGGAATGAGGAAGGTCTTTCCACCTACTATCAGAGAAAGATAAATCAGAGGATTTCTTTGTAGCCAGCTCCAAGACAGATAGTGTTGGTAAGGATTGAAAGGGTTTTGGCCTAGACAGGACACTGTAGCCAGGAAAGCCTCAACCGAAAGCAGGAAGCCCCTATCCCCCACCCCTTCTAGGAATTTACCTTTGACACCATGGCGAAACCTAGGACCAATGGGCTACCTATACATCCCTAATGCCCGCCTTAAGTTCCACCCCAAACCGAGGCTATTTACATACCCCCATGCCACGTGTCCGCCAGAGCTTTTTATTTTATGCTTCTCATCTTTTGGAAGTGTTTTTCATCTTTTGGAAATAATCCTATCAGATAAATTCCAATTTCTCTGATCTTCCCTGGAAGCTGTGAATCCAGGAACTGTGGACCAAAACCATACATATATATATATAATGGTATCCATAATAAATTCTACTTGCCAATGATATATTATCACTCCATACATTAGATTCACATCTGAATTTGATTTGTTAATGTTTTGTTTTTGTTAGAGTTTTCTGGTGCAATAGAGAAGCAAAAGTAAAAAAGAAAAGGACAAGTTTATTGAGGATGCGGAAAGGAGCACACAGTCCATGGAGGCCGGGCTGTCTCTTTCAACCAGGTACAGAGAGGCAGAGGGTTCTATGACCTCTGATCAGAAGTGGCACATGGGGCAAGACACTGATGATGTGTGAGGAACTGACTAGAATTTTCTTTGCCCGCAAACAGGAAAGGGAATTGAAATTAGGGCTGAAGAAGCAGCAGGAAATGGTAAGTGATCCCAATTTGGTCTTCTGCCATGTTAGACCACAGCCATAACTGTACAATAATTTTTTTTTGGTCTTTTTTTGTTTTTTGTTTTTTGTTTTTTGTTTTATCGGTACCAGCGATCGAACTCACGACTGAGTTTAGCTCACTTATGCCGCTGAGCTAAACCCCCAGCCCCAACTGTACAATAATTTATACTAGGGCAAGAAGCTTGCAGTTTTCTTTTCTATGGGTGAAAATAGCTTATAATTTATCCTTCATGTGTTTTGTAAAACTCACTAATAAAGGCATCTGGGCATAAATCTTTCTTTGTCACAAGTTTTTAATAATCATGCTATGAGTAGATTTTCTGTTTTTGGGTCAGTTGTGAAAGAGTTTTGGCCCAGACAGGACACTGTAGCCCGTGAAGCCTTAGAAGGGGAACCAAGGAGCTCCTATCTCCCCCACCCCTAGGAATTTACCTTCGACTCCATCTTCCCGCCCCTGGGAATTTACCTATGGCGCCAAACAAAGACCAATGGGCTACCTGTGCATCCCTAATGCCCCCTTAGGTTCCACCCCAAACCTAGGTTACTTATATGCCCTCACGCCATGTGGCCATGTGTCCCCCAGAGAGAAAGCCAAACTCCAGTGATGGGGGCAGGGGGTTGTTTTCTCTCTCCCTGTTCTCAGAATAAAGGCCTCTTTTGTTTTATACTTCTCATCTTTTGGATGCACTATATAATCTTATCAAGTTGCAGTAAGTACTATTTTAGGAATTTGCTCATTTCCTCTATCTTTAAACTTAATGGCAAAAATGTTCAAATTTACTTTTATCTTTTTAATGTCTTTAGAAACACTGATATCCCATTTTAACTTCTGATATTGATAATTTGTGCATTCTCTTTTTTACCCATTCAGTATCAGTAGGTGGTTATCAATTGTATTACTTTTGATTTTGCTGACTTTTTATAATTTCCTTGTAGGGATACTTAAATTGCTGATTTTAAGCCTTTTTTCTTCTTTTCCAATAAT